TTTTTCTTATTCGTTTTAATGGTCATCCTTGCACTAGCTCTAGATTTTATGAATTTTATAAGGTTAGCGGTTGTCTTGTGTTTTTTGTATCTGTTGAAGGCGTGTTTGTAGTTTTTCATTGCAGTTTCACATTCCTCGTTTCACCAAGGTACAGTGCAGCGCTTTTTTCCGGGTCGAGGTTTTGTTTTTGGGATGGATTGGTCAGCAACATCGATGATGATCTGGATAAATTCTTTTATTATTTGTTCAATATCATAAGAGTTTGTTATGGCATTATTATCTAGAGAAGGGGTGTTAAGTTCGATGAATCTACTATATTTGCTCCAGTTGGCCAGTTCAAATTTCCATCTGGGGGCTGGTTGTAGGTAGTTGACTGTTCGGTCTAGTTGCATTTTTAATAGAATCGGGTAGTGGCCACTGTCGTACAGATCTGAGGTGGTAATACATTTGCATTTGTATGCGATGTTGGCGTTGCTTAAGGTTAAGTCTATTTTGCCAGAAGAGCCATTAGCTGAATTAAAGTGTGTTGGTTTTTGATCATTGAGAAGTATTAAGGTATGGTTGAGTAGGATTTTTTCAATAATGTTACTTCCTGAATCGGTTCTTTTTGAGCCCCAGAGTGTATTATGGCTGTTGAAGTCCCCGGTAATGGTAAATGGTTTTGGTATGTTGTTAATTAAATTGCTTAATTCGGATTCGTTTAGTTGGTAGCTGTTTGGTATATACAGGGTGTTCGGCTACCTATAGTAAAAATTTTAATGAGCGGTAGTAGAGGCCAAAATAAGACGAAAATCAAGAATATTAATTTCTTGATGGAGGCTTCGTTGCAAAGTTATTAACGTTTTAAAGCTCCGCCTGTAGAATGGCAACCCGCTAACAGCTGCGTTCGCGCGGACGGTTGCGGCAGTCCAGTGTTAGTGGTTCTCACGCAGCATGAACAATTTTACTTACCGACATTATCAACAGCCTTAGATTTTTGTCCACTTATGGGAATGCGAACACCTTACGTTGAATAAGATTCAACCTGTCTTATGAAAATCCAGAAGGGCATATCAAAACTCGCCCGACGAGATTTTCACAGAGTGTTCCGTCCGGCCAGCTCGGGGTTCTCCGCTCGTTTATGGTGCCAGATGCGGAACCTTGACTTTGTCGAAAAAGTCTTCGAACATTCCGCATCTGGCAAATTTCCGTCGCCAACTCATGGAACAATGCAGCCATAAAACGTCTGCAACGTACGTGTAGCTAGGTGTAATTCGGAGTCCCGTTTTTTCCTCGGCAAAATTAACGGGGCCTTCGACTTGGGGAGGAAACCTCGGTCACCCTCGTCCAGGGTGAGATGGGACTCTTCCTCCTCCACGATCGCGCGAGGGAGGAGTTTCCTGGTCAACGGGGCAGGAAAATTGATCCTCCTCCCCCAAGTCGATGGCCAATCGATAAACGGAAAAGGTCAACGCGAATCGGTTGACGAACCCCCAAAATCGCGTCTCGGAGGGGGTTCGAGCCGAGGAGAAAACGGGCTCCGGACACTTCGACACTCGTCGCTGAAACCTCTGACAACAACGATCGAAATCTTTAACTCGACGCTAAAAGTTCGAAGACAACCGTCGAAATCTTCTTTAACTGGTCGCTGAAATCTCAGACAACAACGATCGAAATCTTTAACTCGTCGCAAAAGGTTCGAAGACAACGGTCGAAAATCTGCAGTTCCATCGTTTCGGGAACACTCGTCATTCGATCTTCGAAGAAATCGCAGCTTGGAAAGTTCAATCGTCTCGTGAACCATTCGTTGTTCGAACATCATTTCGCGAAAACTCAGCTCAAGCGGTTCGTGAGCAACAACTCGTGATTCGACATTAAAGAGAACAGCCGGATTTCGATTCGAAACAATCCGGCAATTCAACAGTCGCTCAAGATTAATTTGGCGAGTGACGGCTAGGAACCCGCGTACCACGAAGGTTAAGACAGCCTTACAACCCCTCAGAGTTTAAAAGAAAACTCACGCGACTACCTGGCCAGTACCGCCGCGACGCACAGTGGTTCAGATTGAAAAACCGTGTGCCATTTCCTTAAAAAATCGACTATCACATATCGATATTTGATAAGTGTATACTGTTTCTTAAATGCCCAGCAGTCTCGAAAATGAAGATATTTATACAATTTGATATAGTTTTTTAGTAGCAATGACGACTTAAAGTCGAATTTTTTGTGGATAGTGTCTTTCATTAGAAAAATTGCATTTTTTCTTTCAGGAGTTCTGATGTTCCTATTCAATATTTTCCTGTTTTCTTTCTTTTAAAGTAAAGAGCATTCTTCCATGATAGAAAACCGCTCCTTACATTAATGATTACCGTATAGAATGTACTGGAAAAGTAATGCTCAATGAAATATAACAAATTTTTCAAATTTCTTGCAATTGACAGGGATTATCTTTTAAGTCCCAAAGAATCCCGCGTTTTAACAAATTGGAATATTCTCGGCACACCTTCCTCTAAATAATCATGAAAGAGTTGATTCCCCCCTCGTCCCACTGCTCAAATTATTAATGCTTAAAATTATTAACGTTGGACGCTGTATCGCACCAATTAATGAAATTCTACGTGGAGAGAAAACAGGAAAACAATATAGGTTAGGTGTTTTGAACACGTTGACAAAACAAAAGAATGTGCTAACAATAAAAATGCCTTACCGAAAAATTAATTAGGTGCCTAAATTTTTCGACGAAAAAAAAAATTTCAAATCGTTCTGAAAAAATTATGTTCGGTTGCGAGGGTCAATTACAAAGATTTTTGGTGAATAGACATACCCCCGGAATCCTACCCACTTTCTAGAAAAAAATTCGAGAATGTGTGAAATTTTTTGACGGAAAAAAAAAAATTTCAAATCGTTTTGGAAAAATTATTTTCGGTTGCGGGGGTCAATTACAATAATTTTTGGTAAATAGACATATTCCCGAAATCTTGCGCATTTTCGAGAAAAAAATTCAGTACGAGTGGAACTTTAAACGTTAATAACTTTTTAACGAAGCCTCAGTTGGGCAATTGGTATTCTTGATTTTCGACTTATTTTGGCCTCTACTATCGCTCATTAAAATTTTTACCATTAGTAGCCGAACACCCTGTATATAGATTGATAAAGATTGATAACAACAAAAACAACAATTGTGATACAATTTTTCTTTAACCTATCCATAGCTTAGCATTTCAAACTTATCTGGTTCAAGTTGCATGCTAATATCACATACGGTTTAAAAGTTATACAAAAAAGGCACACGATTTTCTAATCTGAACCACTGTGCGACGGTACGATTCATGGTCCTTCGAGCCGGATAGTGACGTGTTGTGAAACAGTTCGCATCGAAACCTGCAATCCACGAAGCTATCCAACCACCGTACGAGAGGAGGCCTTTTCGTGCAAGGCTATCCCAAGGCAACGAGATCCTGAAACGGTGCAGCCAACCTACCAAACGAGGACGACTCCAGGGAAGGATAGCGACGGTCATCTACAAGACAGCGCTGACCAGACGAATTCGAGACGACCCCTGGACGAACTGCGAAAGGTAGGCTCGTTCGTTATTACAATTGCCAATTAACACGGGTATTTCCTCTCTTTACCGATCCTTAATTCGAACGAGACATGTCTCTGACAAAAGACACGAGCGCGAGCATGTCCGACAACCACGATCTCTGAATACGCGAGTTAAAAAATAAACGGCGCACATTTAAGAGCCAAGTGACAATGTTTGGGCACTACTTGGACTCTTTCAAAGACAGCGAGACGGAACGCGTAAAATTGTCCGAACGACTCATGCGCATTCACGGACAATTCGAAACTTTCAATCGCGTCCAAGACGAGCTAGGCAACATCGACAACTACGAAGAAGCCGAAATTGAGAGAAACGCCGCGACCGACATTTACGATAACGCGATCTCAAGAGCAACCGTGATGCTGAATCGACTCGCGAGCGCCGCGGTTTGTTCAAAGGCGGGAGAAAATTCGGGTACCGCGAATTGCAGCAACGGAAGCTGCAACCCAACAGCCACGTCGTCGTGCTCACTGCCTGTCCATTTGCCGAAGATGAGCCTACCGAAATTCGACGGACGAATCGAATCATAGCTCACATTCAAGGACGCGTTTAACGACCTTATCCATTTGCAACCGGGCTTAAGCATAATACAAAAATTGCAATATCTACAGTTGTCGTTATCCGGAAAGGCTGAAGCGGCAATCAGCGCTTTCACCATTTCTAACGAGAACTACGAAGCGGCGTGGACCCACTTAAGCGAGATGTACGACAACCGACGCGCACTCGTACTACGTCACGCGACCCTGCTCCGCGATTCACCAGCAATGCCCGATCACAGGTCCGAATCGGTACGCGACCTAGTAAATCACGTGCAATTGCACATTCGATCCTTGCAAGCCCTCGGTCGTTCATGGGAAAACATCGCACAAGATTTGATTACCAGTATCATAGTCTCGAAGATGGACGACGAAACCAAACGAAATTGGGAACGCACGCTCTCCGACACCGAAGTTCCCAAACTCGAGGAGTTCATCAAATTCATGCATAACGCGTCACATCAGACGGAAGAATTTGAACCGACAAATCGCGCAACACAAAACCCATATCGAGACGCGATTCCGCCTCCGACTCAATCGCGACCGTACCATCTTCGCCCGCGTTCTCCGAAGACACAATACCAGAAAATAAAGATGTACGCTACGAAAACGTCGACAAGGGAACCGCCGCGCGCGAATTTCGACCAGCGCGAAAATTATTCAAAACGTCAGCCACCGTCACCGCGCCCGCAACGAAGAACACCGAGATCGACCGCCGGTTTATCGTGCAGCATCTGCAACTCAGAAGGACACGCAGAATATTCCTGCAAACGGTTCCTAGAAATGTCGGTCATCCATCGAACCGACGCCGCGCGTAAGGCCGATCTGTGCATGAATTGCTTACGACCGGGTCACAGAAGCGAGGATTGCCGCGGTGGCACATGCCAAGTGTGCAATCAGCGGCACAATACAAAATTACATCAAGACGCGAAATACACTGGATCGACGGAATCGAAACAGTGACAAACAAGGAACGCCACGATCAAAACGGGAAAGGATCACCGGTCGCCGCATCATCCACCGATCTCCCAGCGCACGGCCTCTTAGCAACGGCTATGGTCGAAGTATATGACAGGGAGCGCAGAGCGATCGAGTGTCGCACGCTCTTAGACACGTGCTTGAGCGCCAATTTCATGACCGAAGCCCTCGCCGCGAAATTATACCTTCCCCTGGAAACATGCGCAGTCAAGATCGAAGTCTTAAATCAAGAAGACACGACGACGAACAATCTTCTGACGACCACGGTAAAATCGCGGACATCGAATTTCAAACGGACGCTGAAATTCTTCACGGTACCGCGAATAGCTAATAGAATCCCGGATCAACAAATCGACCGCGCCAGAATTCCGATACCGAAAAACGTGAAATTGGCCGATCCGCAATTTCACCGCCCGGCTCCAGTTGACATGCTTATAAGCGCCGGACCGACGATGGCAAGCTTAAGCATAGGTCAACTGAACCTCTCCTCCAATGATCAGTCGGATCTGATTCTGCAGAAGACCCAATTTGGATGGGTCATCGGGGGGAGCGGCCCTATGGCAACGGCGCGCACGAAACACCGGACATTCTTCGCTACCCCGGATTTCGATTTACAAAAATTCTGGGAGTTAGAGGAGGGTCCCCACATCCGACATTTATCGGCAGAAGAGCAGGAGTGCGAAGATCATTTCAAGGATCATATTAAACGCGATAAATCGGGACGGTATGTCGTCGCGTTACCCTTCAACGGAAGGGATTCCTAGCTTGGAGAGTCACGATCGCGCGCTCTCACTCGTTATTTGTCGCTCGAACGGAAATTTAATCGCGACGCGGAATTAAAACGCGAATACGTGGCCGTAATCGAAGATTACTTAGAGCTCGGGCACATGAGCGAGGTAAACGAGGCCAGCAATACGGACGGATTCTACCTGCCGCATCATGCCGTCGTAAAATCATAGAGCACCACCACTAAGGTCCGAGTCGTATTCGACGGTTCGGCAAAATCGAGTAGCGGACTTTCGCTTAACGACGTCCTCATGACCGGGCCCACCATCCAAGACGATTTGTTCGCCCTCCTCATGCGTTTCCGTACGCACAACTATGTTCTCACCGGAGACATAGAAGAAATGTATCGGCAGTTCCTCGTCCGTCCGGAGGATCGTCGATATCAGCGAATCTTGTGGCGCGACGACGACGGACGCATTAAGGCACATGAGCTGAATACAGCCACATTCGGATTATCATCAGCTCCATATCTCGCGGTCAGATACCTACAACAGCTGGCCGAAGACGAAAGTTCGCGAGCCCCGATCGCGGCGAAGGTGGTAACGCAAGATTTGTACGTAGATGACTTGCTAACCGGAGCCAATACTTACGCGCAAGCCTTGCATTTACGAGACTCTGTCATCGACCTCCTAAAACGCGGAGGATTGAATATTCGACAGTGGGTATCGAACGACCCGCGATTGTTAACCGGATTACCGACGGAACAAATCCACCCAAAATTTTTCGGCGACTCATCCATCAAAACCTTGGGACTTTCATGGGACGCTCGCAACGATGAAATAGTCTATACGGTGGACCTCCAAACCGACGCGAAAATAACCAAACGAACAATCCTATCTACTATTTCGAAAATCTTTGATCCGTTAGGGCTGCTATTGCCGGTAATCATCAAGGCAAAAATTTTGATCCAAGGACTCTGGCGGCTGCAATTAAATTGGGACGAATCGATATCCCATGAATTGCACACCGAATGGACAGTTTTCGTGCAAGAGTTCAGCACCTTGGACAAAATTGCCTTCCCGCGCCACGTAACGCAGCGCGCAACCATGAGAACCGAGCTGCACGGATACTGCGATGCGAGTGAACGCGCGTACGGCGCGTGTCTCTACCTACGAACCATAGACGAAGCCGGAAAAATCAAAGTCGAGTTGCTATGTGCAAAATCGCGCGTTGCACCGTTAAAACCCGTTAGCCTCGCCCGTCTCGAATTGTGCGGAGCACTGTTGCTGGCAAATCTCCATACGACCGCTCTCCAAAATTTCGCGCGATCATTCGACAAGATCATGTTTTGGACCGACTCGACCATCGTTCTTAACTGGATCAACAAGGAACCCTGCACCTTGGACAATCGGCGCGGCAATTTCGAACCAATTCAACTTGGCGCAACGGACCCACGTGGCTTCTCGAATCGGAATTGAATTGGCCGCCCTCGCAATATACGATCACGTCAAACGTACCTGAAGCGAGACCCTTTACGTGCTTCGTAACTAAAACTTGTCATTCCGAAGAAATTTTGCACCGGTACTCGTCAATAAAGCGTTTGCGCAGAATCGTCGCGTACTGCCTGCGCTTCAAAAGGAATAACAGTAACAGGGGTCCACTAACGATCGAAGAGCTGCACCACGCGAACGAACGAATTTTGCAGCTCACCCAAGCGTCCGTCTTCGCCAGAGAAATCCAACAGCTTAAAACGGGAAAAGAGTTACAATCGGCCAGCAGACTCTTATCGCTACGACCCTTCCTGGACGATAAGGGACTCTTACGTGTCGGCGGCCGGCTGCAGAACTCGGCTTTGCCATATGAGCAAAAACACCCAGTGTTGTTGCCAAAAAATAACACAATAACGGAATTAATAATTCAAGACGCACATGTCGAGAATCATCACGCCGGGATTAACACGACATTGTGCCTCGTCCGCCAGCAATATTGGCCTATGGATGGGAGAAACACCGTACGCAAAATCGTACGCCGGTGCGTCAGGTGCTTTCGGGTCGACCCCCCAATAACCAAGTACGTCATGGGCAACTTACCTGCGGCACGCGTTTCCGAAAGCCGACCCTTCGATAATTGCGGCATCGATTATTGCGGTCCGTTTTACGTAAAGGAGAAAAAATTCCGGAATCGAAATCGAGTCAAAATTTACGTTGCGGTATTTGTTTGTTTTGCAACCAAGGCGGTGCACCTTGAGGTAGTGGGAGACATGACCACCGAAACCTTCATCGCTGCCTTAAAACGATTCGTAGCTAGAAGAGAACTCTGCCGCAATATTTACTCCGACAACGGAACGAATTTCGTCGGTGCGGACAATGAGTTATCGAAATTCCACCAGATACTTAACGCCGACGAAGGGGTACAACGATGGCTTATCGACAAACAAATATCGTGGCACTTCATCCCAGCCCTCTCACCGAACTTCGGAGGGCTATGGGAAGCCGCGGTTCGGTCTTTCAAACACCACATAAAACGCGTGGTTAGAGAAGAACTCTTTACGTTCGAAGAGTTCAATACCTTGGTTGTCGAAATCGAAGGAATCCTAAATTCACGTCCGCTAACTCCACTTTCCGCCGACCCTACCGATCCTTCCGCATTGACTCCAGCCCACCTGTTAATTGGTAATTCTTTGACGAGCCTACCTGAGGCCGATTTCAGCAATACACCTGTCAACCGGCTGTCGAAGTGGCAACATATCCAGAAGGTAAAACGCGACTTCTGGAACAGGTGGTACAAAGAGTACCTGAACCAGCTCAACGTACGACAAAAGTGGGTCAAGGGATCCCACGATCTACGAGAGGGATCCTTGGTGGTCTTGAAGGACGACCACCTACCTCCGCTCCAGTGGCACCTCGGCCGAATCGAAAGGATGCACACTGGGCCAGACGGGGTAACACGAGCGGTGACAGTGCGGACCAGCCACGGCAGCTACAGGCGCAGCGTCAAGCAGCTGGCCCAGCTTCCAGTAACGGACGACATCGAAACTGCTCAAAACGTTGAGCAGTCGCCTAGCGGTCGTAATCCGCAATCACCGCATCCCGCACCGTTGTAGGACAACGGTCCAACCTGCTCCAGGAGCACCTCGCCCGTTTCGAGAGGAGGCACACCGGACCAAAAGGGGTAATCAGAGCGGTCATCGTGCGGACCAACCAAGCAGCCCCCGGCACAGCAGCGTGCAGCCGGCCCAGCGTTCGATAGGCAAAAAATCGAAACTGCTCAAAGCGTTGAGCAGTCGTTTAGCGGTCGTAATCCGCAATTATCGTAATCGCATAATCGAATCAATCGCATCATCTTAGCTCCGTGACACGAATCGGTCACCATACAACCTCTTGAACGCCTTCCGCGTTCAACGGGGGGAGCATGTTCCGTCCGGTCAGCTCGGGGTTTTCCGCTCGTTTATGGTGCCAGATGCGGAACCTTGACTTTGTCGAAAAAGTCTTCGAACATTCCGCATCTGGCAAATTTCATCGTAAAGCATTCAAGCACTTTAGCTTTTCGAAAGTGCAAGGCCCGAGTTGACCGACGAAGGGCTGCATTGTTCCGCGGGTGGCCTCTACAACGACCGTCGCCAACTCATGGAACAATGCAGCCATAAAACGTCTGAAACGCACGTGTAGCTAGGCGTAATTCGGACTCCCGTTTTTTTCCTCGGCAAAATTAACGGGGCCTTCGACTTGGGGAGGAAACCTCGGTCACTCTCGTCCAGGGTGAGATGGGACTCTTCCTCCTCCACGATCGCGCGAGGGAGGAGTTTCCTGGTCAACGGGGCAGGAAAATCGATCCTCCTCCCCCAAGTCGATGGCCAATCGATAAACGGAAAAGGTCAACGCGAATCGGTTGACGAACCCCCAAAATCGCGTCTCGGAGGGGGTTCGAGCCGAGGAGAAAACGGGCTCCGGACATTTCGACACTCGTCGCTGAAACCTCAGACAACAACGATCGAAATCTTTAACCCGTCGCTAAAAGTTCGAAGACAACGGTCGAAATCTTCTTTAACTGGTCGCTGAAATCTCAGACAACAACGATCGAAATCTTTAACTCGTCGCAAAAGGTTCGAAGACAACGGTCGAAAATCTGCAGTTCCATCGTTTCGGGAACACTCGTCATTCGATCTTCGAAGAAATCGCAGCTTAGAAAGTTCAATCGTCTCGTGAACCATTCGTTGTTCGAACATCATTTCGCGAAAACTCAGCTCAAGCGGTTCGTGAGCAACAACTCGTGATTCGACATTAAAGAGAACAGCCGGATTTCGATTCGAAACAATCCGGCAATTCAACAGTCGCTCAAGATTAATTTGGCGAGCGACGGCTAGGAACCCGCGTACCACGAAGGTTAAGAGGGCCTTACAACCCCTCAGAGTTTAAAAGAAAACTCACGCGACTACCTGGCCAGTACCTCCACGACGGTACGATTCACAGAGAAAGGGTGAATGCCAGTTCCAACAAACAATGTTGTTAACAAAAATCACCCACACGCGATTATACACACCCCACGATTGTCCACAGTGTCCGCAAGTGTCCACAAATAATCTTTTCAGACACTAACCACTATGCAATTAAATAAACACGCACCGCGATTATGTTATTCGTGAGTGTCTATGTGTACGTGCATCACGATTCTTCCAAGTTACTTTCGAATAATTAATTTTTCAAATATACTGTAATTTAAAAATGTAAAAAGGAATTTAATAAGTATTCGCTGATTGTTTATATCACTGTATTTCTTACATGCTACTTAATACATAACTGTATTAAATATGTCTAAAATGTGTCGCGTGAACTAGCTTGACTGATACTTTTTTACGACTCACTAGCTGGCCGAACACGTGCCGATGCTGCCCTTTGTCTCCACTGAGTGTGAGTGCATATGTGTGTGTGTGCGCGCGCGCGTGTGTGTGAGAGAGATAAGCGAGGCGAGTGACGTAGAATCGTTGTCCTGTTCGGCATTTGTTTTTCTGAACCTCGTCGATCGATGGCACAGTCAGCTGCTAATGTTGTTACATTCTTCGACGTGAACGCAAATCGATGCGAAAATTTCATTTATCCTACGATTCCTTTTTACATTTTTAAGATAAAGGTATTTTAAAATTAATAATAGGTTTATTCGTAACTCGGAAGAATCGTGATAGACACTCACGAATAACATAATCGCGGTGCGTGTTTATTTAATTGCATAGTGGTTAGTGTCTGAAAGGATTATTTGTGGACACTTGCGGACACTGTGGACAATCGTGGGGCGTGTATAATCGCGCGTGGGTGATTTTTGTTCACAACATTGTGTATTGGAACTGGCATTCACCCTTTCTCTATGAAAATCTCGTCGGGCGAGTTTTGATATGCCCTTCTGGATTTTCATAAGACAGGTTGGCACTGGACTGCCGCAACCGTCCGCGCGAACGTAGCTCATTAAAATTTTTTCTATAGGTAGCCGAATACCCTGTATATGTTACAGAGGTGTATCTTCGTGGATGAATATATTTTGGTCGAAATTGTTTCCATGTTTGAATTGATTGGGATTTTCTCACTATATAAGGAGTTATTTATCAAAATGGCTACTCCTCCGCTGGCGGTTTCTACATTCCTGTTGTGGACAAACGGACTGAAATTCTTAATTCGAATTGTTTGGTTGGGTTTGAGATGAGATTCTTGAAGGCAGATTACGTCTGGTTGGTATTTCTTCAGGAGAAGTTGTAGATATGTTAGTCGGAGGGAGAATACGTTCAAGTTCCATTGTAAAATTGTGAGCGTTTTAATTCAGTGGTATTTGATTTTGTATACGGGTAGGTTTAATAAGTTAATTAGAGGTTTGTGTTATGTTGGGAATGGTGGGTCGATGTGTGTAGCAGTTTCATTTTCAGTTTCGTTATCTGACGTTGCCGGGGTGCAACTAACTAATGAATTTCCTGAGGATGTTAATAGTAGTTCAGCCAGTTTGTATTTGAGTTTCTTTATTAACCTGTGGATTCTGTTTTTTATGCTTCTTTCCTTCAGGTGAGGATAGATTTCTGTTAACATCTCCATTAAACCTGGTATATTTTGTGTGAAGTCTAATGCCATGCTATAGGGGGTTTCAACGCCAAGTGCGTTTTCCATGAGAATGATTAATTGATTATAGTTCAGTGGGTAGTTTGATTTGGGATCGTTAATTTTGGATTTTGCTGGTTCGAACATATTTTCGATCTTACTGGTCATTTTATCTACTAATTGGATACATTTGGTACTTTTTTTCTATTTGATGGGACTTCCTGAGTATGTGGGGTAGCTTGCGTTAATATGTCTTGATTTGATATAGTATCGGTAATGAGGATTTCTTTTAGACTGACTGTGGATAATGTGTGTGCTCTTTTGTTATCTGGGTTCGAGATACTGTTTACTAGTAACGGCTTTGCCTCTTCTGGCTGTGGAGTAGTGGTGGTGGTAGGTATACTTATTGCCTGTGATGTAGATTCTGGATCTGTTTGTGTGTATAATTGAGAAGGATAGTCGATGTTATCGGCGGACGTGTTGTCTTCGTCTTTTTCCGGGCATTGTTTAGTTACGTGACCTGTTTGATTACAGCGGAAACAGATGAGTTTGTCGGTTGTGGAAAAGATTCTATATGTTGTATTCTCATATGTTACGGGAAAGACTCGGGAATCCTGCTTGTGTCCTCAGGATGTACGTATAATTGACGTCTGAAGCTTAGTATGTGTGTGTAACCAGGTTCATGGATACCGGCTCTCAAAAAGGTTATTTTGAATGTGATCCTGATTTTGTTGTGTTTAAAAATTTCTTCAATCGTGTCATGAGAAATCGTTGACGAGACATTAGAGAGTATTATCCGCTGAGATGGAGTAATTAATCGTTTCACGTTCACAGTGTTGTTATTTATTGTCATATGGCTATGATTGCTTACTATCGTGGTGACGGTGTCTTTGGAATCCAAGTAAATGCAGACTCTGTTGTTCGAAATTCTTGAAATGAAGCGGATAGTGGCGAGACTGATAATTTTTCCAAGTGCGTTTGTATAATCATGAATCGAAGTTTCTTCTATTGAATCTATTGTTATCGCTTGGTCCTTTTTCTGAAAGTTTCCATTGGTTACCGTTGAGGCGTATGTGTTTCGGGTTGATTGAAATGGTGCAGTTGAGTTTTCTGGTTCCGTATTCATTTGTGGATCTTTCGTGATGTCATGGCCGCTGTACTCAGAAGCCACTGTTTGTTCTAAAACTTGGTTCCTCATGCGCTGGAGCGCACAAGCCCACGCTGGTTTGTATTTGTCACTCTCTCACTCACTTTCACTCAGGCGCTCGCGACAACTCGCAAGTACGTCTTGTCTGTATGACGGTTGGCACGAGACTCAAACAATTTTTATTTGTCTCGTTTCTTAAAAATAAATGCATTATACGTCTTATCAATTCACCTCCTTCTAATCTGGTGAAACGTAATTACAAACCTTAACATAAACAATATTGTAATACTAAACTATGTTACTGTTACTAAACAATATTGTTTATTTATAGAGAAAACGTTTAATTAACACGATCATATTTTATAATTGAACAAGTAATTATTAAATATTTATATTGAGGTTGAAAGAATGCTATTGAAATCTAACTTACATGAAGATCAAAAATATGCAATGAGAAATAAAAAGAGAGAAAACGATATAAATAAATGACAATATAAGATAATATAGTATGCATACGAATGCCAATATATATGTCTATTATTAGGCCAAATTTGGTTGATTCAAGGTACTGTTCGTTCTCGACAGTGTGGCCAGATCGTGCATAATTGAGTGCATCGAAATCGACGATAGTGACGACGAACTTCCATAGCGTCTAACGGAGTGCTGGGGACAGCATACATACACTGCCGCACGAGCCGCGTGTACGTGAGCTCAGCATTTCGCACAATTTCGGGAAATCGATAAAGAACGCTAGTGTGACCCTTTCCTTTTTGCTCTTGTAAAAGAGCTGAAATACGACTTGGCGATAATCGGCATAGGATTCCAAGCCTCGACTGCCCCAGCATTTTTACTTTCCGACCTATGTAAGGTATAAGGTAGGTA